TATATATATAATATGGAATGCTTCAAAATCTTAGCTATGTCCTTTTATTGGTATGTGAATTCAGTTTGAGGAAAAGATGCATTTGATATTTTTAGATGTATGTATACTTGCACTTATAACACGTAGGAGATGAATGAATTAAAACATTTTACTACAGATGAAGATGTGCTGTCAGGGAGATGCTTAACTGTTGTCTTTGTTTTTTCTGCTACCCCTAGTGTAGCTTGCACACAGCTGAAGAAGGTTGGGGAACAGTCATCTTTAGCTCTCTGTAATGAGACCAGCACCACCACCACCACCATGTCACCATTGTCATTACAAAGTAGCACAGAGCCCAGCGGGCTACCGCAGGCTGGCCCCGAGCCTGACCCACATGCCCTGGCTTTCCCCTCAAGTGGATTTTCATGTAACACTACAACAGGCAGCCTGATGAGGCCATGCAGGGTTCGGATGCTCAGGAGAAGTTGGAGCACCATAACACCAGGTTCAAGGAGCTTAGAAACACTGTTAGAGAAAACCAAAGCCACACTTACAGGGAAGAGTGGTGGTAGGAATTTGAAGTCTCACGATGCCCCAAAAGTACAAAGGCTATTCTCTGCCAAAACCTTGCCCAAGAGCTGGTCCCAGGGTTCAGCTGTCTCTAACTCATCTGACAGAGGCCTGCTAAAAGAAGCCTCCCTGCTGCTTCCAGAGTCAACGATACCGAGGCTGAGTACATGGAAGTGCCATAGGCCGTTCAGTCACTGCTTCCTCAGGAGAAAGAAAAACACTGACGGTGATGAAGACAGAAAAGTGATTTCCTCACTCGAGTCATTCACTGTCAGCTCAGTTCCTTTCTGCCATGAGGAAAACACAAATCAGAAAGAAGACTATAAAGCTGAGCAAGGTGACGTGGCCACTGCTATGAATGACATGAGCCTTAAAGAAAGGCTGGCACATGTAAATTCAATGAAAGGAAAAACCTATAGCCTTCACACAGGGTTTGCAGTCGCACAGAAGGATGCCTTAGAGATGATCAGTGTGTTGCGTTGCAGTGTAGGCCAGCTGTCCAGAGGTGAGAGGCCCGAGATCAACGAGGGCGATGTGGAAACATTCTCACAAACACTTGTCATGCAGGCCCAAGTGTTGAGCCGCGCCTGCAGTCAGATGGCCATGGAGTATAGCACCCCGGAGGAGTTACTACTCACACTGACGCACAGCTTCCACACACTCTGCTGCTTAACGCAAGCCGGCATGTCACTGGTGGAAGGCCTGAGCGCTGAGAGGGAGCGGCATGAGGTGGTAGCCAAGGTGGACGAGGTCGTCATGAACTACATGTGTCTGCTGAAAGCTGCTGAGGCAGCTTCAGGAAGCTCCCCCAATGACCAAAGTGTGAATGCATTGACACATCACTCTGCCACTATGTCTGCTATTTTAAACACACTAACTCTCTCACTGAAAACACTGCTCAACAAATAAACTATTGTTATTTTGTCCTAATTATTGATTTTAAAGCCATACATAAGAGACATGGGTTTAACAACCAATGTGAACTGCTGTTAAAAAAAACATTGCCTTGTGTATACAATATTTTATGTAAAGTAAAAAACTTATATGAATTATTGAAGTTTTAAACAAAGTATATTAAGACCTCTATAAAGAAGCATATGATTCTCCTCTCAAGTATATTAACTAATGTTAGACAATAAGGATAATTTTAATGATTTATTGTTTATATTAGGTGCTTAACATGTAGATTATTACAACCTTATTAGTACCTTGTTTATAAATTGTCAGAATATATATTATGTTGGTGACTGTATACACCTGTAGACAAATTATTGCACAGGACAAGACATAATCAAGTAAAATGAATGCATTAATCTTTTTCATTTGCTAGATTCATCTTTAACTAAAGGACACTTTACACATGAACACAGTACTTCCCTGTTATTTTTGTCAACATAAATAAAATGATTATCTCAATGATTATCATATGATTTATGGCTCTTTTTGGTTCACTCTTGTGTGCGGTTCGGTTTATTACCAGCCTCACACACAATACCACATTTTTATTTGGTTTTGCAGTGGTTTATGCAAATTCATTATCATTAATTCACTTTTTACTGGTTTCTGAAAAAAAATTGAATAAAAGAAGCTGACAGTGACTTTTCAAGACTGTAAAAGGTTGCTGTTAATATTGCATTATTCATATGGAAACACTGCTTGACCAGTGTTTAGTTTTATACCCATGTTTAAGAATTCATGATTTTATTCTTTACTCATGCCTGAGTGATGGCAATGCTTTTTGCATTAATGATGATGATGGTCTACTTCACCTACTGGGCTAGAGAGAGTGCTTGCACAGCATTCTGACTTGTTGATGTGTAGCAGGTGTTGTTAACCATCTTACTTTAGTGTTAACATGCTAACCTTTGCTAAACTGCGCAAATTAAGACACACAGCTGAAGCTGAGGGGAATGTCATTAGTCTTGCAATACCACTAGTATAGCTAAAAAGCCGCTTTATCATCTTGCCTTTTAACTATAAAATAAGCTTTTCATGTAGATTTTCTTTCAGAAATGACAATATCTAGTCCTGCATTTGGTGTCTCAAATAAAGACCCAAAAGTTCATACATACTCTCTGCACAGATCATGATTGAGAGTGATTTTTACTCAGCTGTAGAGCCACAAAGCAGCCAGAGTCCAGAAGAATCTGCCCAGTGCCAGAATAGAATGTTTACCCGGTAAGCTGGTAAACCTAAACCCAAACATAGGTTTCACTTTCCCCTGCAGGCTGATGAGAAACGAAACAATGCTTTCCACTGCTGGAGGCTACGGAATATCCCCAAACTTATTCAAGTGTGCTGTTATGCTGTACTAGCAAGAAAATATACTTCTCTCTTATCCTTCCTTTTTAAAGAAAACCACAGTGCAGTAAAAGCAACCTTAGCAAAATGCCCAGGTCTGCACCAAAATACTGCATAACAAACAGCACCCAGTCAAATGTTATTTAACTGGCTAATGTTTAAAAGAAAAAAGATGGAAGATTTGGATGTGTGTGGTTTGAGACAATGGGGAAGTGATGCTGTGTAATTATATATGCAATGGGCTATGATATCCACCTGTTACTTTCACCTCATCACCTCAGAACAGATCCTTGATTTTACACTTCTTTCAGTATTCACCTTAACAGGACTGACACCAGGACCTCTTTTCAGTCTCTCACATGAACAATGCTCCTTCAACTGGTGAGTATAACTTACTTTTGTTCATACTGCATTCATAAGTAGAATAGTGGGAAAGTAACAGTTCCTAGTTAAAATATACTCTCAATAGCTTTCTATCACTCTATATACTTAATAAATAATACTGAATGTCCAACTGAAAGCTAGGTTTGTGTCACATCTTCTTTTAGTAATGTCTTTGTATTAATAGCTAATCCAACTGCACACATTTCTCTGAGAGCCACCTGTGTTTTGCTACAGATGTTTGTTGCACAACTGGCCCTGCGGTGTTGTCTCTCCATAATAACACCTGGCATTTCTTACCCAAAAACCTTGCCATGTGATGTTACTGAGGCCGACAATGGCAGTGTGGTGAAGGTGGACTGCAGTGAGAGAAGTCTCAAAGATGTTCCCCGTGGCATCCCCAGAGACACTACCAATCTGACGCTCACCATCAACCATATTCCTGTATTAAACTCCACATCCTTCCATGGTCTGGAGAACTTGACTGAGATTGACATGAGGTGCAACTGTGTGCCCATCAAAATCGGCCCCAAGGACCATGTATGCAGTGAGAGTGTGACAATTGAGGAAAACACCTTTACCAGCCTGAGGAATCTGCGGGCACTCTATATAGATGGAAATCAGCTGTACAGCATACCTAAAGGCTTGCCTTCAAATCTGATCCTGCTGAGTTTGGAAGTAAATCACATTTATAACATTTCTAAAGCAGACCTCTCAGAGATCCGGAATGTTGAGAAGCTTTACCTTGGTCAAAACTGCTATTTTCGTAATCCCTGTAATAAGTCTTATGATATCGAGAATGGCGCATTTTTGCAGCTGAACAATTTAACATTGTTGTCTCTTAAATCAAATAACTTATCCTTCATTCCCCATCAACTACCTGTAACTCTAAAGGAGCTTTACCTTTACAACAATAACATTCAGGAAGTCACTGATGAGGATTTTAAAAATTTAACTAACCTTGAGATTTTAGATATTAGTGGAAACTGTCCTCGATGTTACAATGCCCCGTTCCCATGCAACCCGTGCCCTAATAATTCACCACTGAAAATCAGCAAAACGGCTTTTTCAGTGCTGGCAAAACTAAAGACACTCCGCCTGCACAGCAACTCTCTGACATGTGTGCCAGCTGAATGGTTTGCCAGCACAACAGAGCTGAAAGTGCTTGATCTCTCATCAAACTTTTTAGCAAGAGAGATAGGAGTCGCCACTTTCCCACATTTCCTGGGCAAGCTGGAAGAACTGGACCTGTCATTTAACTATGAGCTTCAACGGTATCCTGAAACACTGAGACTGAACTGCAGCTTTTCTAGCCTCAAAGCCCTTAGAATACTTAGACTAAAGGGTTATGTCTTTCAGCAGCTAAAGCCAGAAAGTATTGTTCATTTAAAACCTCTCACAAAGCTGGAGGTTGTAGATCTGGGTACAAACTTCATTAAAATGACAAACCTTAGTATTCTGATGGAATTAAAAAGCTTTAAAATAATCAGTCTGTCTGACAACAAAATTTCCTCCCCCTCTGATAGCCAAGGTGCTGTTGGTTTCTCTGGAGGAGAGTTCTTGGACTGGTCTCCCATTGCTTCTGCTGTTCAGCATCAGGAAGTGAGAGAGATTCATTACTTCAGATATGATGAATATGCACGCAGCTGCAAAAACAAAGACAAAGAACTTGGAGTCGTTACATCCTTTGTCAACAAAGCATGCAGTCAGTTTGGCAAAACTTTGGATGTGAGCAGAAACAACATATTCTTCTTGCATTCAAGATTTTTTAACCTTGGAGAGCTGAGATGTCTCAATCTGTCTGGGAATGCAATGAGCCAAAGTCTGAATGGTTCTGAATTTACCCATCTGACGAATTTACAATATCTGGACTTCTCAATGAATCGCCTGGACCTGCTCTACCCCACTGCATTTCAAGAGCTGAAAAGTCTGGTCATCCTGGATATAAGTAACAACAACCATTATTTTGAATCTGAGGGCTTGACTCACATGCTTAATTTCACAAAACATTTAAAGAATCTCAAGGTACTGATGATGAACCACAACAAGATTTCTACTTCCACAAATACAGAGCTGGAGAGTCAGTCACTAGAGAGGTTAGAGTTCAGAGATAACCGCTTAGATATGTTGTGGAGAGATGGGGACACCAGATATTACAACTATTTCAAGAAATTACTTAATCTGACCGTTCTCGACATTTCTCATAACAACCTTAATTTCATTCCAGGGCAAGTGTTTAATAGTCTGCCGGACAAGCTGTCTGAGCTTTACATCAAAAACAACAGGCTAACAGATTCATTTAAATGGGATAGACTAGAATCTTTACATTATCTGCAAGTGTTAGATCTCAGTGGAAACCGCTTAACTAGTGTTCCACACATGCTATCAGACTGTACTAAATCTCTCAAGAAGCTCATTTTACATAAAAACCAAATCCTAAAACTCACACCTGATTTTCTCAAAGATGCCTTCAATTTAAAATATCTGGATCTCAGTTTTAATCACATACAGCATATTGAAAAATCTAGCTTTCCAGATGATGTTGTTAATCAGATGGACATGCTACTTCTGCACAACAACAGATTCCTGTGCATTTGTAATGCCACTTGGTTTGTCACGTGGCTTAACAACACCACAGTAACCATACCCAAACTGGCCACGGACGTGACCTGTGCCGCTCCGGGGACACAAAGAGGTAACCTTGTGATCTCAGTGGACCTGCTGGCCTGCCAGTACAACTACCTGTCAATCATCCTCTACATCCTCACGACTTCCCTCATCCTCTGCTTCCTCATCCTGTCCATCTCCAGCCATCTTTTCCTGTGGGACGTCTGGTACATATATCACTTCTGCAGGGCCAAACTCAAAGGCTACAGCCGCCTGTACTCCCAGAGCTCTGTCTATGATGCTTTTGTGATCTATGACAAGGAGGATCCCACGGTGTTAGAGTGGGTGATGAAAGAAATGTGTGTTCATCTGGAGGAGCAGGGAGACCATCGCCTGACACTGTGTCTAGAGGAACGGGACTGGATCCCTGGATGTCCCCTGATTGACAACCTCTCCCAAAGCATCCACAAGAGCAAGAGAACTGTGTTTATTCTCACCAATAAATATATTAAAAGCGGCAACTTCAAGACAGCTTTCTACATGGCCCACCAAAGGCTAATGGATGAAAAAAATGATGTCATCGTACTGATCTTCTTGGAGAAAGTCCCTTGCAATTCAAAGTATCTGAGACTGCGGAAGAGACTCTATAAACGGTCTGTGCTGGAGTGGCCAACAAACCCCCAAGCCCAGCCCTACTTCTGGTTCAGCCTGAGAAGTGTGTTAGCAACTGAAAGTCACAAACAATACAACAGTCTCTTCAAAGAGACACTGTAAATGGAACAATGTACTCTGATACTTTGTTCCTTCTTTAATTTCAGATTATTTTGTGTACTTTTATATATGAAATAGATTGTGTGTATATCTCAACATTTAAATGTAAGCAAAAGAAATTGCGTAAGTCATTGAAAATTCTCTGATAACTGGCAATCTCCAAACATAATTATAACAGTCACTGGGTTTGAGAAGACCGTGAAACTGCCAACATGAAACAGGGAAATGAAACATGTACTTCTTCAATTCACTAACTACTTCTGTCTGGGAGCTTATCTTGTGTGAAACAGCCAGCTTTGTCACTTTTGTTTGACTTCAGTAACAGGGGCGTTTGATGTGTCTGTGATGACATGCTGACGCACAAGCCTGGCATGATATTTACAAACAGCTCATATGAAATTTTAGCTGAAAGACTGAAAAGTGCCAGAACTTCACGTTTTCAAGATTGTCATTAACAGACTGTGAGGGATCAATACAATAAATGCACAATGGTGAGTTGTATTAATACATTCCTCTGTACTTCTTTAAGCTTTGTTGTCACTATAGCAAAGAATTCATTTATTTCCTCGTCAGACTTATTAATTACCTGCATGTCCTTTAATTGGATGTTTTTGCAATAAGATATTTAATAATTCTGTGCTTCTGTTATTTTGTGCTGAGAACTTTATATCACTCAGTAATACTTGGGCTAACGCTGTATATATTTATCTAACTCCAAAAGTCTTGACTGTTTATATTATTCATTACAAATGCTGAATTAATTAATGACTCATTAAAAACTGTTGCCTTTTTGATAATGCTGTATTACACAATCAATACAACACATTAAAGTTTACTTGCAATTTTATTCCTTTACTTCTCATTTTTAGAGTGCAACCTGTTAGTGGTTTGTCGGTGGACTAGTGATTACAAGCTGATGCAGTGCAGCTAAATGTTATTCAAAGCCAAAGCCTTTTATTTAAGCTTTAAGATCCTAAGGTTTGCAAAAGTACCAGCATGCCGATGAGCTGAAATAAGTCAATACTGATGCTACACAGGGTTAAATGAAACAGTTTTAACAACTTTACAGAAACTTATAGCAAAAGTGAAGTGTAGAATGGATATTAATATGAAACTACAAAGCTTTGGGAGGAAGAAGTACTGCATTGATTTACATAAAAAATTTAAAAGTTTAATTTATCAGAAATCAAACTTCCTTGTTTAGTTCAGTACTTGATGCAACAGCCTTATTCAGTATGAGCAGGAGTTGATGGTGAATACTGTGAGCAAATATTGTCATGTAGCTGACATTGCTGAGTCATTTTACTGACTTGGTGACTTTTTTCTACTTGTCCTCCTATTGTAGTATCTCTTAGTATTTACCATTATCCCACAATTGTCAATTGTGACTTGTTGCTCGGTAAACACTATGTAGCTTTGCTGTGAAAGGTTAATAGAAATGATGATTTTAAGTAAACAAGAGCAGGGTTGCTTCACTTACTAACTACTGCCACCTGTTGGGTACAGCCAGTGCCACTCTGAAAAGCAATGTTCAATACTTAAAGAAGGGGTGGGCAATTCCGGCCCTGCTAATTTTCCCAACTATCCCTGCCTTACCCACTGCTGATTAACTGGATCAGATGTGTTCGACCAATCAGAAGCTGGAAGATACCAATTCACTTTATCTTTCCTCACTCGACCTTCATCTAAGATGGTATCTTCCAGCTTCTGATTGTCCGAACACATCTGATCCAGTTAATCAGCAGTGAGTAAGGCAGGGATAGTTGGAAAACACCAGGGCAGTGGCACACGAGTACTGGAATTGCCCACATGTCTGTCTTAAAACAATAGTCAGGTACACATATGAATGCTGAAACTGGTTTTGTTTCCTGTAGCCATTCCTATTGTTCAGACTGTAACTTTGGAAGATACTGTTTTTATGACTAACTCAGACTTCTGAAGCCTCATTAACTTCAGATACTGTAAACATGGGAATGCAATTTTGCCTAGAAGAGGGACAGTTTGTTTTGTCCCAATCACTTTCATAGAAAGAGCAAAGACATTTGTTAATGCTCAGTAAGAACAGGAGGAATGGTTACAGCAAGCAAGACTCTTCATGACACAAACACTGTATTACAAGTTACTTCATTTGATTGACTGCATTACTTTATCTACAGACTGCCACATGTTGGATGCACTTGATGCTGTTCTGTCTGTCTTGGCATTATGGGATCCAGCCTGCTGCATGTAAACCTGAATGGATGTTACCACGATTCCCTTGTGACGTCTCAGCCGCCAATACCTCTATGGTCATATTTGACTGTAAAGGGCGCCATCTGTATAAAGTACCTTATGGAATAACAAGTAATGCAACTGAGCTCGACTTATCAAACAATTACATTAAGAATATTTCGACAGATTCATTTTCTAATTTGTTGAATCTGACTAAACTCAATCTCAGCTGGGCAAACAGTAAAAAACCATTGATCATTGCTGAAAATGCTTTCAAAAATTTGACAAACCTGAAGGAACTAAGACTGCCTGGCAACGGTCTGGGTGAAATTCCCAGCAACCTCCCTCTCAGTGTGGAAATCTTTGAGTTCAGCAATAACAAGATTATATGGTTGGATAACACAAGCCTTGCTGGTTTAACAAACGTGACACACCTGTATTTTTCCAAAAACTGCTACACGTTGGATCCTTGTGACCAATCTGTTACTATCATGGAGGGCAGCTTTGCCGTTATGACCAAACTAGAGGCTCTGGACTTATCCTATAACAACTTAACCCATGTTCCCAAGGGATTACCTCAGTCCTTAAGAACATTAAAGCTAGGCTCTAACAAAATAGAGTGCATATCTGAAGATGATTTCCTTGGGCTACATAATTTAAAAATCCTAAAACTACAAGGGAACTGTCCGAGATGTGAAAACGCTCCATATCCCTGTGTTCCTTGCCAAAATGGTTTTCTTCACATCCATCCTAATGCCTTTGACAATGTAGCACAGCTTACGGTGCTGCACCTGGGAGGAAACTCACTGACACACCTGAACTCCTCCTGGTTTACAAAGCTGAGCAAGCTTAGAGAATTGTTCCTGTCCTTTAACTTCTTAATAACAGCGATTACCAAGGAAGCAACATTTCTAGCTTATCTTCCAAAGCTTAAAAAACTTGATCTCTCTTTCAACTTTGCTTTGAAGTCATACCCTACAACATTAAATCTTTCACAAGAGTTTTCCAAACTTGTGTCACTAAGAACTTTGCATTTGCAGGGTTTGGTCTTCCAGAATATTGGACCAGGCACACTCAGTCCTTTGTACGAGCTCAAAAATCTGTCTGCATTGAACTTAGGAACTAATTTCATTATTCATTCTGATTCCACCATATTCAGCCATTTCTCCCACCTGAAAATGATATACCTTGGAGAAAACAGGCTGTATCCCACTCCGGTGAAAAGTCCACCATTTATGAGTGACAACTCCAATCAGCGGTCAGACATGTCTATTTCACCATTTGTTGTATCCTATCCCAAAGACTTTTCATTTGAGATATCACACAGCCTTATCAAGCAAGAGTGTTTTGACTCTGGACGAGTGCTAATTCTCAGCTCAAATAATTTGTTCTTTATTTCTCCAAAGCAATTTGATGGCTATGGAAATATTGCATGTCTTAACCTCTCAGGAAATGGGTTTTCAGCAGCACTTAATGGTACAGAGTTCTCCTCGCTGCCTAATCTGACATACCTGGACCTGTCATTCAATAAGATTGATCTGGTCTATGACAACGCCTTCAATGAACTGAAGAAACTACAAGTACTAGACCTCAGTTATAACTCTCATTACTTCAAAGCATACGGAATAACACATAATTTAAATTTTACAAAAAATCTGCCTGCTCTGAGAGTACTGAATATGAGTCATAATGACATTGACACTTTAACATCGAAACAGATACACAGCCAATCATTAACAGAACTTCAGTTTACAAATAATTACCTTGGTACTCTTTGGAAAAAAAGGGATGGCTCATACAAGATGCTATTTACTAATCTTACTAACTTGACAATTTTAGATATAACCCACAACAGCATTACAAAGATTCCTGATGATGTTTATGAATATTTGCCACGTAACCTTACCTTACTGCGCATAAGCCATAACTTACTCACTGAGTTTAAATGGGACAAACTGAAGCTTTTCCATCATCTTCAAATTTTAGACCTGAGTTCCAATGATCTATCTGATGTGACAGGTATAAACTCAAACATCAGTCATACTTTGACTTTCCTTGACCTGAGTCATAACAACATTGTCCACCTGGACAAAGAATTGATAGAGGAATGTCCAAAAAGCCTTAAGACTCTTAATCTTAGCTACAACAAACTGACCATCATCAGTCAACCCACCTTACAATCAAACCCTAATAATCACATTCAGACTTTGTTCTTGCAGAGAAACCCATTTCACTGTACCTGTGATTCATTAAATTTCATTCTGTGGATTGAAAATGGTGATGTAAAGATCCCAAAACTTACCTCAGACGTGACATGTGAGACGCCAGTAAACCAGAAGGGTCACAAGCTGATAGACTTTGACATTAATCAGTGTGTTAATGACATTCAGGCATTCCAGCTCTATGTTCTCTCAACTTCCTTCACTATTGCTTTTATGTTTGTAGCAACCGTTGCTCATTTGTTTTACTGGGATGTTTCCTATGTGATACATTATCTAAAAGCTAAGCTGAAGGGATACAGTTCCTTGAACTCATCAGGCAGTATATATGATGTCTTTGTGACTTATGACACCAGTGATTCACATGTCTCTGAGTGGGTGATGAGAAATCTGCGAGTGAAACTGGAAGAGGAAGGAGACAAGCATCTTCCTCTGTGTCTGGAGGAGAGGGACTGGCCCCCGGGAGTCCCGCTGGTAGATAACCTCACTCAAAGCATCCAATACAGTCGCAAGACTCTGTTTGTCCTAACAGAGGGCTACGTTAAGACTGGGACTTTCAAGATGGCAATGTATCTGGCTCATCAAAGACTGCTGGATGAAAATGTGGACGTGATTGTGCTGCTGATGCTGGAGCCTGTCCTGCAGCACTCTCACTTCCTGAGGCTGAGGAGAAGGCTGTGTGAGGAAAGTGTCATAGAGTGGCCGAGAACAGCAGCCGCAGAGCCCTGGTTTTGGCAAAGCCTGAGGAATGTCATGAGGGTAGACAATCAGGTGATATACAACAAGACTTACTCCAAGTACTTCACGAACAAGTGAAGCAGGATGAAGAATGGGAATTATTTATAACTTCAAACTGTGGACAATATTATCTGGAGCTTGTTTTGAATCCATTGTTCTATAGCAATGCTGGTTTGGACTTTTGCACATTTTATCACTCAATCTGGGACTTAACACAAGACAATTAAAGACCTGATTTCATCATCTTCGCTGGCAGAGTTACTCTGATATCGAATCTCTTGCAAATGTCTCTTGTAGATATGTGCAGATATTATGGCACAGACTATAAGTAAATTAATCCATTTTCAAAACAGTGCCATTTTGTAAATGTTTCTATCTATCAGCTGCTCTACATTTAACCAAGAAAATATATTTAACATCATATGTTCAACCTACAAGAGCAAGACTTACATTAGGCTACACAAGAACACAATAAAGTAAGCATTTGCTGCTTTGAAGTCTATAACAAATTATTTCTGAATAAAAACAGAACATGGCAAGATTACACCTCCTGAAGTTTCCCTAAACCACCTGTCCTCCTACCTGCAAATCCATTTCTACTATTCGTTATGGTCGAACTCTCCTGGTTATTACTTCGGTTGTCCACATGGTGTCATCACTGATACAGTTTTAATAGGGCACTGTGTTTAAGTTAAACCTAAACCCACTGGCCCACTAATAAATACTAAACTCATTTAGTAGCTTACATTTCGTTCATCTTGTGGCATGAACAAACACCTCGAATTGCTTTGATGAAACGGAGGCTTTCTATAGAGCCAAAGGAAATAACCTGACATCACTCACCTAATGTGTTACAGCTGGTGGCTGCGGACTACGGTCACTTTCCCTCAAATAAATGAACAGACTTGGCTAAACCCACGTTATGGATAAGGGATCTCCAGGGTCATATTTTATCTTATTATATTTTTTATTTTATTTTGGATACTCTAAACACAAAAACGGGCTTTAGAAAGGGGACGTGACGTCAGGTCATTTGCATGCTGCGCAGTATTTAGTGTGTGACTGCGCGTACAGACTTCACCGCTCCTGTGCCAACGCAACCTGTACCTTGTTCTGCTGACTAAGACTACGGTGAGTGTGTTCCTCTTTATTTTGCCTCAGCTTTTAGTTTATACTGGCAGTTGCACTATTTAATTGTAACCCAAGAGGTTTTTCCTCATTTTCTGGGCTGTCAAATTGGGTCTACTAGGCAAGATGTAAGCTGCTGGAGCTAACAAAATCAAGAAAGACTGGTGGCTGACACTTGTACATTTAAATGGTTAAACGACAGCGTTACACTGCTTTTGTTTGGTCTGATGAGCATGTTTGAATTAATAGCACATGTGCTTTGCAGTTTGTTTTATTGTTCAGAGAGGGACTGACTTAATTGAAGCATGTGTGCTGAACTAAATTGATTAAACGGGCGGTGCTCACAGCTGCAGGTTCACAGACGCAAAGCTTTTCTTAAATCAGGCGCTGAGAATGTCCTGATCATATTTAACTGCCCAGTTAAAATGGGTTTAAATTCCTTTTGATTTATGACCCAAACTAGCCATTTGCGTCATAATTGAATTCAAGGGAATGACAAGTTTTGGGATTTCTTGTTTAGTGTCTCTGCAAAGATGTCTGACAAACCCGACGTCAAGGAGGTCATATCTTTCGATAAGACCAAGCTGAAGAAAATCGAGACTCAAGAGAAAAACCCATTGCCTACAAAGGAGAGTACGTGTCCTTTTTAACTAACTTAATCTTGAGTATAATTGCGTGTTGCAAGACTTCTGGAACTAATGATGCAAACTTCCTCTTTGTAGCCATTGAACAGGAGAAGGCAGAGTCATCATGAAGAGCGGGCCTCCTGTGCACTGTACATTCCACAAGCCTTGCCTTGTCAGCCTTCCCTCACCGCAAAATAGTGGCTGAACAACTCTTAACATGCACTTGGCTAGATTCCTTTCCACATTAAGGAAGTGTGGGTTCCTTTCCATCTGTTACTGCTGTTCACTGATGGGACAGGGGTGTCAAACAACGGAAGGGACCTGAATGATCTGTAGCCCTACAACCGGCCACTTGTGAATGCTCAGAAAGCAAGTTAATCTTTGTAAAAACACTTGGAATGTATGTTTAAATATGCAAAAATAAAGTGTATATAAATGTATCATTGTGGTATTTCTTCACCAATGCTGTAAGAACACAATGCTGTTCTCCTTAAATGAGAAGCCTCATTTGCATCTGACTGCAGCACACAGTTCACTAAAGCTATTTTCCAGCCATATCCGCAGCAAAACCTGCCTCAATTTGAATAGAAACACTTGGAATTTCTAAACCCCAAGCAGTTCTTGGAACAGCGATCCTGGATTTGAAGAACTGGGTTCAGAATGAACAAATCTGACACGTAGGGAAATGACTGGATTTTTAATGTTTTGTGGACTTCCTGAACAAATCCTAAGATGTCATAACTTGGCTTTGGACTCATCAGTCTTCTGGTGGCCATCCTATCATTTAACTTGCATGTTGGCATATCACATCAGACTGGTCCTTGCATGCAACCTTGTATACTTCAAGGTTTCTCCTCTCCAGCTGTACCTGGGTCATGCTCAGCCAAGCAGGAGCATTTTCCCCAGTCCCTCCTCCCTTTGCCTCCAGTTGTAGCTATAGCCACTTCCCACCATGAAATGAGAGGCAATTTTGAGTCTGGCTTCACAGTATTCAGACCTTTTGCTTTTTGTACACTTGGTGCCATAAAAATATTGTAATTATGAAATGGGTGTACTTTCTGAAGCCACAGGACAAGAGCAGCTTTTAGGTGGGAGTGGAGATTGCACTGTATATTGACAAAAACTAATCTGCCTTCAACACATTTTAAGAGTCTGATAAATGACAGCACAGACTGATCACAGTTTGGAGAAATGCCTGAGTTAATGGAAGCCTTGTGACCTTATTGAATGTACTGTATGAACCACAGCACTGAGGCTGCACTATGTGGGGCTG